AGAGACTGAATGACGTACATGAGCAGGTCAGGAATAAATTGAGGATTTCCAGTGACCGTGCGAAAACGAGATATGACTTACTAGCCAATTCAAAAGGTTTCCAGGAAGGTGACCTTGTTTGGTTATACAACCCAAGGAGGAAGGTTAGGAAGTCGCCCAAATAAGGCCCGAATTGGGAAGGACCTTACACCGTAATTAGAAGATTAACGACGTAGTCTATAGGATTCAGCGAACCCCCAGAACTAAGATGAAAGTTGTTCATCTGGACAGGTTGACGAAGTACCACGGAGCACCATCTCTTCGGGACGAACAGTTTTAAGAGGAGGGCAGTGTTGCGGCTTGATTTTTAGCGCACAGCGGCAACGCAGCTTCCAGCGTTTTCGGGACGCCTAGCTCAATACTTCGAGAACGAACGGCAATAGTCGATTGGGCTATGGAAATCCCGAAAAATGGAGAATCTTCGCAGGTCGTCGAGAGCCCTTATGCGCTAATATAAATACGGCAAGGCTACCGGAGTGAGTCAGTTAATCAGACTATATGTAGACGTATACAGCGAAATATTTAAAGCGATATACAGAGTGTGTTCGATTCGCGAGCTACAGTTTTGAGTTAGTGATTGTTATAGTTAGTGTTTGGGAGTTCAATAAATTGTTGCGCTCTTTTATTAGTTTACTGGAATCATTCGAACCCCTGGAAACTAAGGAAATAATTTATTAATGAAAAATTAAACAAATTAAAAACATTATTTAAAATCGGTTTATAGACGTATCTTGAACCACCAGCTTGAATTCTTCATTTTACATTGTCACATTTTTGGACATTTACTTAACAGAAATAAAAAACGGATATAAAAATTTTATACATGTGTTATTTCATACTAGCCTATTTTTTTCAGAAAAATAAAGCATTTCGTTGACATATTTCTGTGTATCAAATCCGCAGAAAGAAATCTTTATGGTAGGGTAAAATTTATTTAAATTTAGTTAACTGTGCGACTGGTTAACAACATAGAACTTATCTATAATTTATTTTGTTTTAGCCACTGGTCTGCTGTAGCAAGCCTGTTCAACTTTTGTTAAGGGCCAAGGTATTGCCGTTGAAATTTAAAGTTTGGCTGCTGCAGTTGATTAATTGGCAAACGTCCAATTAATAAGTTCACAATTGGAGTATGTCAAACTATTTGGAAATTTAGACAACGTTGAGGACTTCATTAAATAAATGATAAAGATACACTGTTTATTTGAACTTTGTCTGTACTTGCTCTTGAACTGAACTCTTTTTTCTAATTATTTTAACTGTAGTAAGCTCTAAGAAGTAACAATAATTAATCGGCAAAATACGTACAAATTATTTCACTTTGTACTCAGTAACCTTTCCATTCAACAAAGATTTATATTTATTTATTTAATTTTTTATATTTTTTGGAGCATCTGGAGTTTGTTGAATATTCAGTATTTCACACCAACGAAAAAGGTGATAAAAATTCACTTTGTCAGCCAAATGTGGAGTGTTTCTGCCCGATGCTTTAGAGTTAACTTTACCAGACTGGTCGCCATACTGTTTCATCAAATTTCATTCTAAATTGTGTTTTTTATTTAATATATTTAGTTATTTCATTCTAATTATCTGTTTTCTCGTAAGTGTGTCATTTACAATTTTAGCCCTTTAAACCATTTCTGACCATTGTTTTACATGTTCGGTTGGGTGCTCTTGAGGATGTTCACTTGTAAGTTGACGAGTAAGTTTTGCTTCCTTTTAATTTGTTTTGTCTGCGCGGTATCCTCCAGGTTGCTTACTGTTGCTTTGTTTGTTATTTTTAGTGGCCCTGATGATGACGTAATTGTCGAAAGCGCTTAGCCTTATTACATACGTACATACACACTTCTTTACATACATTTGTTTGATTTAATTTTATTCAGTGTGTACAAACCAACTTCTTCTTGTTAAAAACAAAAGTACTTTATTAATAAGTAAAATTCAGATTTCCTCATATACCTGGTATACGCTTCACAACAAACACTGATAGATTTTAAATTTTGGGGCAAACAGTTATGATATCCTATTTATCCAACTTAACAAATTCATGATATCGTATTTTGCAACTTAGCATAAGGAAATATCTAATTATGCTTACGAGGTACATAATCTTCTTTAGTTTCACAGATAGCATGTAAACTCATCAGCATTTAATTAATATATTGTTACGGTTCCCGGGGTTCGAATGATTCCAGCAAGCAAATAAAATAACACAACAATTTATTGAACTCCCAATTACAAACTATAACAATCACTAACTCAAAACTATAGCTAGCGAATCGAACACACTCTGAATATCGCTTTAAATATTTCACTGTATAGATGTCTGATTAACTCCGAATGAATCACTCACTCCGGTCGCCTTGCCATATTTATATTAGCGCGCAAGGGCTCTCGACGACCTGCGAAGATTCTCCATTTTTCGGGAATTCCATAGCCCAATCGACTATTGCCGTTCGTTCTCGATTTAATTCCAATTAAAGTAATGGGTTGCCGACAATAGCAAGAATGCAAACCCTGAATATACAGTAGTTACGGAGACGCAAACCCGCAAGAAGGTAAAAAAAGTGCAGTTGTGCCTGTATCCATCATAGATGGCGGTAGGATTGTGCAAGAGAGTTGGTAATCTATACTCGTCCTTATCTATGTGAGTACCTATATGCATTCGTAAACCTTCAAAGTGCCGATCCGTGTGATTTTGAATCTACCCGAGTCTAAATCAAAACTAAAACCTGATGCAGTACCTTCTATGAACCTGATTAAAACTACGACAACTCAAACTCATGCTCAACATGATAATCCTCCTGCATTACAATTTAAGTACAGACTTCGGAATTATCTCATGGGACGAAATGATGAAATTGTTTCGTAGTGTTTAAATGTGGGACCCATAACTGATGCACCGAATGTTGTAATGTGAAATGAAGCTGTTATCTTAAACTGATAATGATGATGTTCAAAATGAAGCTACACCGCGAAAAGAACTCAATACAGAGCTATATGAGGTTTTCGAAGAATTACATTGGGGTGGTTTGGAAAATTTGGCCGGATTCATTGCTTTTAAATTGCGAAAAAAAGAAACACTTGGTTACATTTCAGATTCCACTGATACATGTTTTTCTTGGATAAAGCTTTTATCTAAAGGCGGTTTGCAAAAGCCCAATGAAGATTTTTTAATAAAATGTAATGAACTTGAGCAGATTTTTAAGAATTACAATGCAGATAAGTTAAAATTGACAAAAAACTGTTTGAAAAACTTAATGCAATGTTCCGAACATGTCAATGAAGATGTCGATTCCAAAAACTTTTTCTTTCGGTGCAACCCATATTCCTAATTAAGAATTTTAAACCGACAGCTAAAAGCATCTAAAATACGGAAGCTAAAAATGGTCAAAATAGTTAAATAACTAACCTCGATTGCATTTCAATAAATAAAGGAACTCATACGACATGCAATTTTACTTTATTAAAAGTATCTACCCACTAACACTCTAAAACCAACCCTCTCTTACAATTTCCAGAAAATGCATAAACAAAATAGTTGGATAAATCATCTTCGCCCATAGACAAATCATAAATAGAATACATAGTTTATCTATCTATACCGTCATAATAGATTAAATCGTTAAGAAAATAGATTAAAAGCTATGCTTTGCTAATAGCCGCCATCCATTTTTGCCGTGACGTCATGCGCGCTTCTCTTCAAAATTCGTTCGGCAAGTGAGCTTATCTTGTTAGTTTTAGGGCCAACTGCACCGTCTTCATCATAAGCGTCACTTAGCTAAGTGTCACTTAAATATTTAAGTAACACTTAAAACTAATCTGCTGCACCGTCCAACTTTATCATCCGCTTAACTAAGTTCCACCTAGTTCAGGGATTTTTGGCAATTTTAGGGGATTTCTTATCTGCCTATTTGCGTACCTGCCTAACTTGAAAGCTTTTGACAGAAACGTTAGCGAGAAAGCGATCGTTGGACTTTAGTTTTGAAGACGATTGGAAGTGTCTGAATTTGTAGTGTTTTGAGTGGGAAAATTTTTTATTAAATGGAGTCAGAAAATATTCAGTCTCCAAAAAGAATGCGAACTCCTAACTACACAAGTGAGGAGAAATATCGTTTGTTAGAAATATGCCGCGATTACAAAGGCATTATCGAGAACAAAC